CCGCCCCCCCCGAAGCCCCGGGCCTTACCAAGTGCGCTTGTTGTCGAAGAAGAGGACAAGGTAGAGGTGCTCGCGTGCTTCCTGAGTCATCTGCTCCCCCAGCTTCAGCACCTCCAGGGGGGGCACGGGGATGGGGACCCCGTGGTGGAACATGCCTTCCCGCGGCATCTTGGGGTCAATGATCTGCCAAAAGGGCAGGGCAGGGATGAGAGGAGAGCGGGGACCCATCCACGGGAGGGGGATGGGGAGTTTGGAGGCCCCCGGTGGCGAGCGGGGGTGCGCAGCCAGCAGTACTCACCAGCGCCGGGTAGGAGGGGTACCCCCGGCACTTGGCCCACACCAGGTCCAGGGCATCCAGGGAGGAATCCTCGTCCTCCGACAGCCATCCCGCGCCGCGGCCCATGCCCTTGCGCACCACTGTGCCAGAGGAGAGGGGAGTCAGCTGCGTCCACCCCAGGCGCCGGCCGGGCGCGTGCAGCTGCAGGGCTGCGGTACTTACTGCCGTGCCCCACGCCTCGTCCCGTGCCCACGGAGTAGGACTCGTTCTCTGTCCCCGACGTGTCCTCACTGCTGTCTTCTGGGAAGTTCACTCGGGAGAAGGAGGGCTTGCCCCTGCCCTGCTTGGAGGGCGTTGTGCTGCGGAGAGAGGGAGCGGAGCTGGTGGTAGGAGCCATGTTAAGCTTCCAGAAACTGCTTTCGAGAGGGCCAGCCTGGCGGGACATTGGGGCTTGTGGGCTCCAACCACCAGCCTTGGTACTGGGAAGGACAGTGGGACGGTGCTTCGGCCGGGGCACTGGCCAGACCCTCACCCCAGTTCCACCCAGAAGGACCCGGAAGACACACACAGATCTGAATTACAGGCACAGGCAGGAACCTGCTGGAGCTGGCTGCTGGAAGGGCCGGTGCCGGAGCAGCCGCTGCGCCACGAGGGCATTCCCCAGTTCATGCTCCCTGCTAGCCCTTTGCTGCACACTCACACCTTCAGGTTTTACATTAAAAAAAGGCACAAAACCTGCAGCTTTCTAGGGTTTAGCTGAGAGTGGCCAGGCTGCAGGAGCGTGAATGAAACAGATACCACCAACCTGGCTCCTCGTCCAGCAACTCAAGGCTGAGAGCTGCCCACTGCCACCCCAGGAAGCACCAGTGCCATCAGAGCTGGGCTGGGGATCGTACCTGGTACGGTCCGAGGCGGCGCTGCTGCTGCTGCTGCTGCTGGACTCTGAGTCGGAGCTGCTCCGGGGAAGATTGCAGTCGTTGCGGTACACCAGGAAGCTCTTCTTCACTGGCTGGTTCCCGCTGCTGAAACCGTTGGCTGGCAGGTCCATGGGAGCATCTTCAGTGGACTTATCGCTGTCACTGTCCGAGCTGGAGCTGGGGCGTGGGCTTCGCCCTCGCTTCCTCTGCCGCTGGGGGGGCCCCATCACT